GATAAACTTCCGGTAGAAATTTGCGAACCCAATAAAACGTTGGACACTTTTCCTGTCCGTGGGTTCAGGCCAATCTAGGATCGCTGAGACCTTCTGAGGGTCCATTGCGACCCCCGTGGCGGAGATAATCAGACCCAGGAATGTAACGCTAGCCTGTTCAAAGCAGCATTTCTCTGCTTTAGCGTACAACCCGTGCTGCCGCAACCGCCCCAACACCTTCGTTACATGTACCCTGTGCTCCCCCAGGGAGGATGAGAAAAAAAATCAAAATGTCGTCTAAGTAGACGATGACAAAGATGTCCAGGAAGTCCCTAAAGATGTCGTTTACAAAGTGCTGGAAGGTGGCTGGCGCATTGCATAACCCGAAAGGCATGACCAGGTATTCAAAATGGCCGAAACGGGTGCGGAAGGCCGTCTTCCACTCATCCCCCTCCCTTATGCGAACCAAATTGTAGGCTCCCCTTAAGTCCAACTTGGTAAATACTACTGCAGCTTTTAAGCTCTGGAATAATTCAGGTACCAGCGGTAATGGGTAACGATTTTTAATGGTGACCCTATTCAGCTCCCGATAGTCAATGCATGGCCTCAAAGTCTTGTCCTTCTTTTCTACAAAGAAGATCCCTGCACCTGCTGGGGAAGTGGAGGGACGGATGAATCCCTTTCGGAGGCTATCCTCAATATAGTCCTTCAGGGCCCCTAATTCTAGCTCAGAAAGGGGAAAAATTCGCCCGAACGGGATTTCAGAACCGGGCAACAGATCAATCGGGCAGTCATATGGGCGGTGGGGGGGTAGAGCATCTGCTCCCCGTTCACTGAACACATCAAGAAACTTGTGATAGGCTGCAGGAATCACTTGTTTCAGGCTGTCATCCCCTTCAGAGCACAGAAGAACCTGGGGGACCTCCGGGCCCGAAGTTCGACACAGTTTCCCGACAATATGGGGAAGGGAACGAGACAACCCCAGTTTCCCAGTCAATTTGGGGGTTATGGGCCCGCAACCAAGGGAGCCCCAGAATGACTGGGAAAAGGGGTGATGCAATAGCATCCAGGCGGAGGAGTTCCCGGTGCTGACCGGCAATGGAAGTCATAATGGAAGGGGTCTCCTGGTTGACTACTCCTGACTTTATCCGGGAACCATCAGCCAAAAAGATATGAAACCCCTTCTCCTTTGGGCGGAGGGGAATACCCTGCTGGTGAGCAAAATTGATATCCACAAAACAGCTGCATGCCCCCGAATCAACTATGGCCGTCACCTCCACGGTCCTTTCGGAAAGCTGAAAGGAGAGGGGGGAACAACTAAGTACTGGGACGGAGCCATATCGCCAACAGATAAAGAAGATGAAGTGAACTTACTCAGTTTCTGCGGGCAGGAACGCACCATGTGACCAGCTTCGCCGCAGTACAGGCACAGATTCTGGGAGCGTCTGCGCTGGCGTTCCTCAGGCGATAGTTTAGGCCGAGCCAGGCCTAGCTGCATGGGTTCGGGAGCATCTTCAGGCGGCAGGTTCTGGATGCTTGGCCTAGTATGTTGACCGGATCCCTGAAATGACCCCCAGGGATTTCCGCGACCCTGACCAGACCTCTCCAATCTGCGCTCCCGTAGTCTACGGTCAATTTTAATAGTGAGTGCAATCAAGTCCTCTAATATCTCGGGCACCTCTACCCGGGCGAGCTCGTCTTTCAGAGCCTCAGATAGGCCCATACGAAACTGGTGTAAAAGGGCGAACTCGTTCCAACGAGTGTCACCCATCCAGCGCCTAAAGTCAGAGGCGTATTCCTCAGCCGCCCGCCGACCTTGTCGGAGTGCGTATAATGTGGCCTCGGCCGAGGCCGCCCGTTGTGGGTCATCATATAAGATGGCCATGGCGTTAAAGAAGCTGTCGACCGAAACCAGGTGAGGGTCATTGTTTCCCCTTAGTCGGTGGGCCCAGTCTTGGGGTTCACCCTGCAACAGGGAGACAACAAACCCCACTTTCACTGACTCTGTCAAAAAGGTCCGTGGCTGTAGTTCAAAAAAGAGCAGACAAGAGTCACGAAATGACCGAAAGCGTGTGCGATCCCCATGGAAGCGCTCGGGTAAGGGTACTCGGGGTTCCGCCATAGGGAGTGATGTGGGAGGCCCAGGAGCCGGCTCGTGGGCTGCTGCGATTGGTGGTGCAGGAGCCGGGGCCTGTGAAACAGGAACAGATATGGTGCAGGCCTGAAACCGATTCTCGATCTGCAGACATCTGTCCTGTAATGTGTTTACAGCTTGCGTCAGGGTAGCCAGGTGCCTGCAAACCTCGTCCAACGGGGAGAGTCCTCCTCGAGGCTCAGTCATGGCCTTCTGGTACTGTGAGGGACCGCCGAGCGGCACCACTAGCACTCCACTGGTCAGGCGTGCCCAGAGCGCGGAATCTAAGCCCCAGGGTACTTGTTCACCAGGGCCCCTGATGGTGGGGATGGACTTGTAGTACCCCGAGACCAGGTCGCCTCTACTGAGCACACCTGTCAGTGGTAGGGGTGTCCGCCAGGGGTTCCAACCAGGGAGAGCCAAATGTGAGGAGGTCGGGTGACCCCGATGGGATGGATGGATGGATGGATGGCTGAGCAAGTGCGTAGTCAGACAGGCCGAGTCGGTAATGTAGAGGACGGTAAGGTACAAGGGAGCAGGCAGAGAATCGTCGGGTCACACGCCAGGTCAGCAACAGGAGGTCAGATCTAATGAGGGGCATCCAGGGAGAGAGGTCAGGCAAGCAAGGGTCTGGGCAGGAGAAATCAGCAAGGTCAATAGCAATCCGGGTCAATAACTTACTAGGCACAGGTACAGGAACGCAGGAAGCAGGTAAGACCAGAAGGCAACGAAATGACAGCTCAGGGACATTTAAATATCCCGCCCTGCGCTGCCATTGGTGCCCAGCGGGCGGCCGCGGCTTCTACTGCGCATGCGCGAACTCGAACGCCGCGGCCGGCCCGGAACTAGTGCCCGTGTACTGGGAGGAGTTTTTGGTCTTGGGGTGATATATGAAGATTTAGTATTGAGGATTTAGGTTCATTGAGTTTATAGTAGGAGACTGTTGAGTAGGTATGGAGATGGTTACGAATTGTTGTGAGGGATTTGTTGGGATTAGTCACCATCAAAATGATGTCATCTGCAAATAGACTTATTTTATGTTCTGTGTTGAAATGTTTGATGCCGGTGAATGACGGGTCATCTCTGAGTTTGGAAGCTAAGGGTTCAATGAGAAGTGCAAATATTATCGGAGAAAGAGGGCAACCTTGTCTAGTGCCGTTTGTGATGTCAAACGTTGTTAGTACTCCATATGTTAGTACTCTAGCCGAGGGGTGTGAGTACAAGGATATTATGCCTGTCAACATCCAACCTGTAATTCCAAATTTCTGGAGTGTGAGTTGCATAAATTTCCAGTGTATGCGGTCAAATGCCTTTTCTGCATCTAGGTATAGTAGTAAAGAGGGGTATTAGAAAGTTGTAGATTGTGAAAAAGTGATATTATTCTTCTTGTAGCATCTGGTGCTTGGCGGCCTGGAGTGAAACCTACTTGGTCCGGATGGATTAGGGTAGGAAGATAAGGGAGAAGTCTGCGTGAAATGATTTTGGCGTAGAGTTTTATATTGGTATTAAGTAACAATATCGGCCTATAGTTTTGGACAAGTTGTGGGTCTTTTCCAGGTTTTGGTATAGTTGTGATAATAGATTGTAGCATGTCTCTAGGGAATGTGCCAGTTTTGGCTGCATTATTAAAAAGTCTGGTTAGGCATGGTGATAGTTCTGGGGCAAATAGTTTGTAGTATTCGTTTGTATATCCGTCATTTCCCAGAGATTTGTACAATGGTAGTGTTTTGATAGTCGCTTCTATCTCTTTGGAAGAGATTGGGATTGAGATGTCAGTAATTTGTGATGGCGAGAGTTGGGGGAGGTTTGTTGTGTGTAAGAATGTTTGTATGGATGTGGATGTAGGTTTTGTGGTGTTGGGGTCATTTTTAAGGTTGTATAGATTCTGATAGTAATTTGCGAATGCGTTAGCTATGTCCGGTGGGTTGGTATATTATAGGGGTAGGCAACCTGCGGCTCTCCAGCTGTTGCAGGACTACAAGTTCCATCATGCCTCTGCAAGTCATAGTTGTAACTGTCAATTTGCAATGTCTCATGGGAAATGTAGTTCCACAACAGCTAGAGAGCCGCAGGTTGCCTACCCCTGGTATATAAGGTATGGGTAGTTGGGAGTTTAATTGATGTAATTTTAGTATATATAAAAAGATGCAGCGCTTATAGAAAGTAATAATAAAACACAGTCCAGTAAAAGAAGTGCTCCGTGATTCCTAGTGCCAATGGTAAAATTTCACACTAACCAGAGAGCGTAAAATTATACGCATGTGTATAAAGATCCTGAAGAACCCCCTCTCCTCTCAGGTCTGGTCAGGGAATAGCCAGAAAAGATGGAAGTCCAACGCCCTCTTGTGGTGAAAGAATGGTCCAGCAGGTCAGAGAAGTAACAATCTAGGTAAGCCTCCCCTTCACAGGAGCTGACACAGGGATCACTTGGGGCTGTAAGAATTGGAGAAGCTCCTCACAGGAGACATAGGGGAGTACTCATAGTGTAGTAGGTGAAAGTTTTATTATGAAAACATAGGTGCATAATGAACAGAGCATTTGGCAAGCATGGATGAACACACTGACCCTTAGAGAATAAAGATGGCCACCGGGCCTCCTCGTGGCACCGGCGGCTTAGTGTCAACGGCGTCCTGAGTCCCACATAGAGGATGGTGGGGACTCTGTGGAATCTGATGTTGGGGGGCTCTGCAGAATCTGATGTTGGGGGGCTCTGCAGAATCTGATGTTAGGGGGGCTTTGTGGACTCTGATGGTGGGGGGTTCTGCAGAGTCTGGTGGTTGGGGGCTCTGTGGACTCTGATGGTGGGGTGCTCTGTGGACTCTGATATAAGGGGTGCTTTAGGAACCCTGATTAAAGAGGACTTTGGTGAACTTTGATGTAAGTGGGGGCCAGGGATGGACTGACCATTTGGAAACTCGGGCACTGCCCGTGGGCCTGGGGTCAGTAGGGGGCCCCATGAGATGCCCCTGGTACCTTTTTCATAGGCTTTTTTGAGTTTGGGCAAGGACACAGGGACCCCATGATCCCCTATTGCCCGGGGGCCCCATGAGTTGTCAGTCCACCCCTGGTGGGGGCTCTGGTTACAAGAGACCCCCTTATATCAGAGTTACCCTTACACCAGAGTCTGCAGCGTTCCTTCTCACATCAGAGCTCTCAGTGTTCCCCCTAAATTAGAGTCCCCAGAGTTCTCCCTATACATCAGTGTCTGCAGAGTCACCACTTACAGTGTAAGGAAACACTGTGAGTTCATATGTAAAGAGGAAACCCTTCAGATTCATACAGTGAGGAACAGAAGTATTTGAACACCCTGCGATTTTGCAAGTTCTCCCACTTAGAAATCATGGAGGGGTCTGAAATTCACATTGTAGGTGCATTCCCACTCTGAGAGACAGAATTTTAAAACAAAAATTCAGGAAATCACATTGTATGATTTTTAAAGAATTTATTTGTCTTGCACTGCTGAACATAAGTATTTGAACACCTAAGAAACAGCAAGAATTCTGGCTCTCAAAAACCTGTTACTGTGCCTTTAAAAAGTCCACCTCTACTCCACTCATTAATCTAACTTAGTAGCACCTGTCTGAGCTCTTTAAAGACACCTGTCCACCCCACAGTCAGTCAGACGCCAACTACTACCATGGGCAAGACCAATAAGCTGTCAAAAGACACCAGAGACAAAATTGTGGACCTCCACAAGGCCGGAAAGGGCTACAGGGCAATTGCCAAGCAGCTTGGTGAAAATAGATCAACTGTTGGAGCAATTGTTAGAAAATGGAAGAGCCTAAAGACAACTGTCAATCTCCCTCGGACTGGGGCTCCATGCAAGATCTCACCTCGTGGGGTATCACTGATGATACGAAAGGTGAGGAAATCAGCCCAGAACTACATGGGAGGAGCTGGTCAATGACATGAAGAGAGCTGGGACCACAGTTTCAAAGGTCACTGTCGGTAGAACACTACGCCGTCATGGTTTCAAATCATGCATTGCACGGAAGGTTCCCCTGCTCAAGTCATCACATGTCCAGGCCCATCTGAAGTTTGCCAGTGACCATCTGGATGATCCAGAGGAGGCATGGGAGAAAGTCACATGGTCAGATGAGACCAAAGTAGAAACTTTTTGGTCTAAACTTCACTCGTCGTGTTTGGAGGAAAAAGAAGGATGAGTTGCATCCCAAGAACACCATCCCTACTGTTAAGCATGGGGGTGGTAACATCATGCTTTGGGGGTGCTTTTCTGCAAAGGGGACATGACGACTGCACTGTATTAAGGAGAGGATGAATGGGGCCATTTATTGTGAGAATTTGAGCAACAACCTCCTTCCCTCAGTCAGAGCATTGAAGATGGGTCGTGGCTGAGTCTTCCAACATGACAACGACCTGAAGCACACAGCAAGGATAACCAAGGAGTGGCTCCGTAAGAAGCATATCAAGGTTCTGGAGTGGCCTAGCCAGTCTCCAGACCTAAATCCAATAGAACATCTTTGGAGGGAGCTGAAACTCCATGTTGCTCAGCTACAGCCCCGAAACCTAACAGATCTAGAGGAGATCTGTATGGAGGAGTGGGCCAAAATCCCTGTTGCAGTGTGTGAAAACCTGGTCAAGAACTACAGGAAACGTTTGACCTCTGTAATTGCAAACAAAGGCTTCTGTACCAAATATTAACACTGATTTTCTCAGCTGTTCAAATACTTATATTCAGCAGTGCAAGACAAATTCTTTAAAAATCATACAATGTGATTTCCTGAATTTTTTTTTTTTAATTCTGTCTCTCAGAGTGGGAATGCACCTACAATGTGAATTTCAGACCCCTCCATGATTTCCAAGTGGGAGAACTTGCAAAATCGCAGGGTGTTCAACTACTTCTGTTCCTCACTGTATATGAAGGGTAAACTGCAGATTCAGATGTAATGGTGGAACTTTGTGGACTGTTTTGTAAGGAGCAAGTCCATATGATTAGAAATGTTATTTATTGACATAATATATGTATAGTGTTTACTACATAAAATTTGCCATATGTCGCTAAAGTGTTCGGGTTTGGATTGCAGAAAAGGTGGCAACTCTACCTAATACGGCAGGAAAGGGGGTTCGCAGAACATGTGGAATGGTCCTGTTGTGGGACCATAATAAAGGGACCACAAATGGCCCCAGGCTCAGTGAGAAGGGGGGGGTCAGGGGGGCCCTTCCATGGGTTATTGCACCTTGAAAGTTCTAGTTACGCCTCTACTTCACACTCTTTCTCTGTACATACCACCCACACATGTCCTCTGTACTCCTCTTCTGCACACACTGCACACTTTCATACCCTCCAAACTCCTCCTCTCTACATACTGCTCACTTACATAGTCTATGCACTACTCTCCTGCACATATATTCCACCATCATAACCTTCATTTTCCTCTCCTTCATACCCTATATACTTCACATACCTTTTATACAACCTGAACTTCTGATTTCCACATCATACCCACTCACATACCCTCTGCACACCTCTCCTGCATAAATTGATGCCATCATACCCTCCGCATTGCTCCTCTTTACATACTGCCTTCTAAGTCATTTCTTTGGCATTGTTTGCAATATCCTCAACATTGCCCTTTCTTGGATAATTGACTCTCAGTAAAATATTGAGCAATACACTTTTTTCATCTCCACTTACTGTAAAATACTTTGTAACGTATCCAAACTATTAGCTAAGGAAATATAAATGCTGTTGAAGAACTGGTAATCTAAATATAATATCAGTTCTGGCATGGTACTCATTTATGGTAAGAAAAAAATTAAGTATACTGCAATATTACCTTCAACATACATTATGTCATGTCCAAAATCACTAGCTAAACATATAAAGGCCATGTTTATATAACATTCTAATCTAAGTATACTGTAAGCTTTTTCATATATCTTGAAAGGAAAAAATAGTTATAGTTACTGAAATATTACATTTTGCACCTGTAAATGCCCTTTGTTCATGAAGTCAGACTCTGCATTTCTTCCACAGACATACTTAAATTAGACAAATGGGAGCAATTAAAGTTTTGTGTAAAGTACCTTTTAGAACTCAATATTCTCAAGTTAACTTGTCAATACAATTGCAGAGATCTATTCAATAACTGTGAATAAAATGTCTAGAGCTTGAAAATTGCAAAAGAAAAATTATGTTTTATTTTCTTGCTGAAAATAATATAGTAAATTTCATAACATAAAGAACCAATGGACAATATCATAATCTAAAGGTTTAATTTCAGGATCAGAACTAAGCATTTCTGTATTTATATCAAATGTAAAATGTTTCTTTATAATAAGACTTTACATGAAGTTCGGTGAGCAACAAATGTGTGAGGCTATAGAGAAGGAACATTTTTAAACATAATCTATGAATGAAACATGAATAAATAAAAAAAGGATCTATGAATTGAGGATGGGTGGCTAATCAAAAGGTCCTTTCCCCGTCATTCATAGATCTTGTTTTATTTAAAGAAACTGTAGTACAGCTTCTATGATTGAAGCAGATGGGTAGAAATGGCAGGCACATTTGGGCACTCTTGATGAGCAACTTAGTTCCATTAACCTCCACATCATTGGAAAATTATGCCAGCAGAGGTGATGTTTGGAGGGGGGGGGTTGGGTATTAGAAGCAAGAGATTTCTACTGAGCTAGAAGATAGCAGTACAAAGGACATGACACATTGAAGGTTAGTAATATCTCTTGTTCTTATTTTGGATTTTTTTTGTAAACTTATAATTTAAAGAGATTTACATCTGATGTTAGATTGATATTATTTGCTGAAAACATTATTTGTGTATGAACATCAAAAATGTGCCTCAAAGAATTCCACTGGTAAGGTGGCTAGTTTGCAACTTCACTGGTAAGGTAATTTTCTCCATAACGAATACACTCATTTCATACAGTAGATCCACCATGGCTGATAGCTTGTTATATGCTGGTAATATGCAGTAAAATGTTTCAAACTAAATGTTGTGAAAGGTTGGATTCTATCAACGTGTATTTTTTCAGCTATATTACCATTGTAATTATTGTGACAAAGAGAGTGAGACTCTGCTTGAAAGAGTCCTGGATGGGATTTACTTCTCCCCTGGGAAGTTGTTGTACACCTCTCAGATCACTTAAATCCAGACAGAGTTTTACTTGTTTGATTATCATTAAGTTGAGGTTTATTAGCCGCTAGCTCAGTGGCTGCATTGATCTGATCTGGGAGCAGACACTTTGTGGAGCTAAGAAGCAAGTAAAAGTACTAAAGGTGAACTGGTTTGTCACTTTCAGAAATTGATAGGTATTAGGTCTGGCTTGTTTTACAGTGAAAGAGCAGTATTTGCAGCCTGAGTGGCAGGTTTTCTTTTTAGTGCTTAGTTTTATTTTGGAATTTTGCCACACTACACCTATAAATATAACTAAATATAGTGCCCAAATAATCTTCAGAAAGACTGTGATTACTAAAGACTGTTGTATGTTTGTTCATGCTTTAGATTCATCACAGGAAGCTGAAACCACCCCACTATGATTTCCCAAGTTACATATGGTGGAGGTATGTAAAGTGCAAAAAGAGGCACTTCTGCCTGAAGAGTGCTATCCACACAGCAAAGTACACTGAGATGCAAGTCTGCAAGTGAAAATCTGTAGGGCAAAATAAATGACATAAGGAAGCTTGCTCATACCAATGCTATTCAGAATGACATTAATGTTCAGTGTGCACATAACTTGTCTATTGAGAGGCACAGCAAGAAGCTGAGCTTCAGCCATCAAGAGCTGATACTGTAACTGCAGCAACAGCAACAACAACAGCAAATTGAAATTTGGATGCTGAAATTGTCACAGAAACCCCACAACCCACCTGTGTGTAATGCTCATATCTAATCCTTGTTCCAGGTAACCCAGGTACTGCAAACAAACACTGAGGATGGTTCTGAAACCTCACCCCTATCCTTGGAAAGGATTACTGAAAAGAGCATTTGGCAGGACTGGTGACCTTCCTGTTTTAGCAGAATCTCAAATAGCCTATTTTGCGTTTGCAAAAATATAGGTTTATGAGTGGCTCAAGCAAAAGATCCTAGCCTGGCTTAGTGTCTTCCTGGCTGTCAGAGTGCAGCTACTCCTACAAAAGGATTTATCAAGTTCAGAGACCTCCCAGATTGCAAAC